AGCTTTTTATTTTTTTATTTGTGAAACTTCTCGCACGCAAGCATTGCACCAATTACAACTCCAAGGGCTTCCAGATGCGTTTTCCATCTTAAAAAAAAATGGACAACAACTACTCCGCCAGACAAACGCAAAATGTACATGTACTTCCAATTCATGTTGTTCTTCTGTCTGGCTGTGGTACTTCCCCGGAGCAGCCTGCCCTTTCGTGCGACAACTATTGCGCGTTCAAATTCATCTATGTATCTGAATATTTAATAAAAGATATGGTAATGTTGAACAATTCAAAACTAACAATTTGGTGACCCGATTGGCGTAGTGGATAGTGGACCTGTCTTCTGCGCGAGTGGGTGTGAGTTCGATTACCACAACTGAAAAATAATTGATGTGATGGAACACAGTGTTTTTCTAGTGTCTGAGTGTTAATATTTATCTATAATATGTATTTGCATAAGAAAAGTTTGTTTATGTATGTTTATCAGTTACCTAGTATCCATAATACAAAATTTGTTTAGCTGAAATATTTATTGATATTAATAATTTAGTTTATTTTTTAGAAAACGTATCAATCCATATAGATACTTAGTTTTATCGTGACTTTGAAAACACAACTTTCCCTATATTTTTAGTAGGTACGTCAAACTTCGCGCACAAGGGCGGCAGTCACCGCGCCCAACTGCCAATTACACCGTCTATGGTCGTCGAATCTGTTCAAACACGAAACCAGGCCAGCACTCGAACACGAATGTATGCACGATTTGACGGGATTTCACATGTTTTGCCCACGACTCCCTTCACTGGTACACATACGAATAAGTCTGAGCATTTCTTCGCGCTAATAGACCATTGTGCCTCCGGCGTAAGTTGTCGCAACGTCGGTTTTTCCCATGAGTCCGTACCGCTTTGTAGTCGCGTGTGCCTTTGTCTCGACCGCAAGGTCGGCGTTGCGCGGCGTTCTTGTTTGTGTAAACAGATGTGTGGAAAGCATTCGCCGAAGCCAGAATCGTCCGATCAAAAAGCGCCTTGTTTTTAAAACCGAGCCGTTAGCACCAAAGCAATATTACTCATCACTACACAGTATAAAACAAAGTCGTCCCGCTGCCTATGTATGCTTAGATCTTTAAAACTACGCAACGGATATTGATGTGGTTTTTTTACTAGATAGAGTGATTCAGGAGGATGGTTTATATGTAAAATGCATTGCACCCGTGCGAAGCCGGGACGGGTCGGTAGTTTATTAATAAACCACCTTCATAGACAAGTTTCTTAACGGTTAAGTGCCGATTGACTGCTAATGCGGTCGCAAAGTTGCGTGTTTATGATAAATCGGGAATGACCAACTAGTTTCGAGGTCGAATTTGCAATCTTGAGGTCGCGTGTTAAAAGCATGGCGTGCCCCAAGGAGTTGTTTTGTGTCCCGGCTTTCATACGTTTAAAGGTGACAAACTCGGTGTCCCGTCAGTATAAACCATCATCTCTTAGTGTCAACTTGTTAAATCTTATTTATTTTAGATCGTTATCTAATGTCGCAATGTTATATACAAAGTTTTTTGCGTGTTCATTTTTATGAATACATAAGGCGTTTTTATTTTGATTTTAATCTTTAAAACATAAACAGTGTTTTTATTAAACAAGTTTTTAACTTTGTTGTCGGCCGCGGCAACGCCGAAGCATCCCAAATATGGCCACTTGGGAGTTTATTCCTTTTAGCCGTCGTCTATCGCATTCTTTACAACAGACCTAATAATACCCACCGCAGTGTGATACAATACAAACGCATAAACTGACTTTTATTTTCTTCTAAAGCCAATTTAAGGAAATCCTCTTAGCCTTGTTGTGTAGATATTGCGTTGGGTGAATGGCCCAGCCCGTCCGGGGAAGTACCACGGCATCACAGTAGACCGGCGAAAAATAGAAGCGTTAAAATTTATAGAAAAAAAGCTGAAATTTTAACCACTAAGCTAAATAAATTACTTTAGTCTAGTGCTTAAAACGTCTGGGCGCGTTTCCGGAAGACGAGGGAGCGATTCCCGCGGCGGGGAAAAACTTTTCGTTAATTTTTCTACCAGTTTTAATGATACGTCTTGAGCAAGTTTCTGGTAATTACCGGGACTATCCTCCTAAAGAATGGCGATTGATGTCGGAGATTAAACTTACTATCAGGAGCTTGGTTACCTGATGTTAAGTGGTGTAGTTATAATGGATCAGCTGATGTTAGGTCACCACCTAACATCATATAACTACACCTAGTTATAATGGTTCACCTGATGTTAAGGGAATAATGTTAGGGGGTGATGCCCTCAATGGGCGGGAGTATTCCCAACGCATCGGGAACACCTGAGGGCTTGCCGATGCGTTGACAACCTTTATAAGGAGTGAGCCCCTCACCCACAGGAAGAAACGCGAAAGTATGATACTTCCAACCCGCTAGTCTTCTGTAGGGCTGTGGTACTTCCCTGGATGAGCTTGCCCATACCCACGGTAGCAGAAGCCTCTGCCTTGGCCAACTACATTAAAAATTGCCGCTTACTGTAAAAAAATACCACTTGTTACGTTACACAAAATGCTAATTGCCCACCACACATAATGATAGTGAGTATGACAGTGATCTAAGCGCTAATCCCATCTTCGCGTACGGCTAACGAGCCCTGCGTAAACCGTTGTTAGCGCCTATGCGGCCGTGATGCGTTTTGGAACTGTTACGTAACTGTTATCGCGTAGGAACAACGAAGACACGATAATCGACTCAATCTGTCGCGAGTTAAAATTTAAAATGACTTGACCCAATTGTTCTCGGGGTAGTTTTCAAAAATAATTTTTAATATCGACCATGGCTCATAAATACTGGTCGTCTCTCTTTCTGTAACGTCTTAGTTTTACAGAGTAGACAGAGATGGCCAGCAATAAGTTTTTTCGAGCTAATTGTGTCCCAAAAAATGATGATAAGTCGCTGCACAGTGAATCTGCAGACGGTGGGATTTTTTCGTAAGAAATGAAACAACAAAAATCCCACTGGCGGTACATCATATGGATTTCAAACTGATTTTCGACTCTTAACTTAAAAAAAAACTCTTAAACTTAAAATAAGACGAGTTCTAGATTTTTTTAAATTAAAACTTCGACAACGCGAAGGAGCTTGACATGTTTAAATTATTTATTAACACCCTCACAAAACTAATATATATTTTTAATTATTATTTACTTTACTTTCAATTTTAAAGACAACTTAATGAAATTCCACTCGTATTAATTATTTTATCGATACTAAGCCATGCATTATCAGAATCGTTCAGGCAATGATGATAAATATCGACATTGTTTGCAAGTTTAATTTAAAATAATCGTATAAGATGGCCGTTGCTAAATTTAAGAGACAATTGTATAGACATCTGCTTTTAAGCATGCTCTTATGGACCGTCACTTATCGTGGCGACCTTGTTATTTGGATTGGTCTGAAGTTTTTAAAGTTTAAAAATAAAAGAATTGTTCAAAAGGTTAATAGACCTGTTGGGTATGTTATTTAAATAGTTCTATATATTTTAATTCATTTCCCGTTTTTCCGTTGGCTTGTCTCATAAAGTGATCTTTACATATATTCGTGATGAAAAAGTGTAAGTTTGTCAAAAAAAAAACTGTAAAATCTTAAAAGTAAAAAAGTTTCTTAATTTGTCATTATTAACACTTAAAGTTTGGTTCCCAACATTTTATCTCATGGTGACTTTAATGATCATGACATTATCTATTGCTCATTTATTTAGTGATTTTTGTAATAAATATTATAAGAAATTGTTTATACAATATCACTTCTCACTTTTCTCATAGAAACATGGCAGCAGAAAGTATGTTATAACAAAAATTTATCTTATTAATGAAATATTATTTAATACTAAATTAAACTATTTTTAGTCTGTTCCGTGGCCATATAAACTATAAAGTATCCGAAACTTCGAGAATTAAAATTAAAAATAATCTTGATAAATAAATAAAAACAGTTTTATAGAACTTTGTAGTAATCATGTAAATATGAACAAAAATATCAAGTATTGTTTATATTTATAACAAACCCAAAATACAGAACGGCTGTATCGCCAGAATCAATAGGTTTATTACTTCTGTGTACCTTCTAGATATGTCATATAGCATTCGATATAATATAAAGGAAGTGTCAACCTTGTGATTAAATATTAAATATCACTCACACATATAATCTTATCGTAGCTAGGCCAACACGGTCTTGAATCCTAGCCTGACCATTTACAGTGAAGTGCATTTTGTTATTGAAAACACCAAATGCAATTAGGTATCGCACAGTCTCTTTATGCTATCGGTCGTGTGTGTACACTCTCGGAATTAACGGATAAATATACGGTGTCTGTAAATATGTAGAGATTTAGTTACGTGTGTCTCATACTTGTAAAGAATTCTTTTGACTAAACGTTATCTTGTATCCAATCTGTTTATGATCGTGATTTTTACCTTGGATGAGGAGATTTTTTGCACGTAATCTACACTTATGTATTCAGTATGCTAAATATGATAAATGATTTTTAAAAACAGTTTGTCCACTATCTGGAAAACGTTAGATGAACGCTTTTTGATGAATTTTTTTCTTTATACTCAAATTCTGCTAAAACTATTTCAGAACTATTGTCTATGTAATATATTTTTAATAAGTGACTGTAAAAGGTTTCTTAAATGCATTTTCCTTGTTTCAGGCTTACCTAGCCATCGGAATTCCTATCGAGTTGCGACGAGAGAAAACATAGAAGTCGACGGCTAACTGTGAAACGCATACCAATCGACACTGGCACAAGCGTCACCCGCGATACGGGATATTAGGCAGCTCGAGTTGAAGACAGACCGAGAGGACGGGATCAGGTGGCGGACACTTGTGTGATGTGCCGCCAACACCACATAGAAGTGCGGCTGGAGGTCACCTGATTGCTGCCCTGGTGCTCTGCGAGCCGGAACGACAGACTGCCGGGCCTTGATGCGGTTGAAGGATGAAGTTCTCAACTGGCTCGAGTTCGAGCAGTCTCGCCAGCGATTCGCTGTCGAGGAAGTCCACTCTGTGCATCTACACCGAGGTGGACGCAACGATGCCACCTCCACCCTGCGAGAGGGTGAGTTTTAACAGCGTTTCAGTTACCCACAAGCGACCCTATTCAACCCCCACTCTGTGCTAGTGGTGTAAATTAATCGAAGAAAGTAAGCTCCGCAACCGCTAGGCGAAAATAAGCGAAAGTCCCAACAAATTTTTTATGTTCAGACATCAATTAAACTTAAACGGCTAAAGGAGGTAAACGATTTGCTTTCGATTTTTTACCAGTCGCGTATGGCACACGAAACTTTCAATTTCACGATGGCGATAATAACAACATCGCATTAACCAAAACAATGCAAAAAGCCGCCGCGTTCCGGGTGCGGGGCGAGCAAGAAGTAATCGAGAGAAAGTAGCATGTCATCCGCCTGCGGTTTTGCACAACATCTGGTGGTGTTTCGCAACGCCCCGAATAGGCGGCCAGTTTATCTTATCGTTATCGTCTTCTTCGTCATATCCCTTTTAAGAGCAGACTTCGCTTTGGCGTTCCCCGGACGTTCGGCGTGCGAGCTTACCACGGTGTAAACTAAAATCGACCAGGTTACGAATTTACTCAAACAGTATGCTTAAGCAAGATTCCGACCTGACCTTGTGAAGTCCAATAGATAACGAAATCCCACGCGTTAATAGTGCTCGATAAAACGCATCAACCGGGCTAAGAGTTAACTCGATCAGTGTGCTTTGGCAAGATTTCAATCTGGCCTTGTAACGTCGAACCGATCCGTTAACTGTGACCCTTCCGAGACGATCAGTGTTACGCAAACATCTTCTACTGCTGGTATATGGTACGCTCTGATAAACGGCCTCCGCGTTCCCATTCCGATGTTGGCTAACGTCACATTAGTCGAGTTTCGTGATCGTGCGCCGTTCGGAGAGCTCCTCTGACTCGCCGCGGCGTCGCGCCAAGGCCGTCAATTGTCTCGATTATCACACGTGACGATCGGCTCCGCGGGCTCTTGCACTTTCACGATCGTGTGGCACAAACGAAACAACGTTTACCGTCCTTATCGGCTGATTTACAACACGCCCGCGCCCGCAAGAGCCGCGCTGTTTGTCAGCAGTCAACGTAGCGACATCCAACTGGGCTAATGAGCGGATTTCAAAGTGCATTTCACCCACGAGCGATATATTTTCATTGCTCTCTTTTGCGCGTAGAATCCGTCCCGGTTTTTGTAACAAGAAGAATTGTTCTCTTCGACAAATGTGCTCGCAAGTTGGTGCGTTCGCTCTCCGATTCCTCCGCGACCTGTTCTGAGACCCGTTTGCGGCCGCGGCGCACGCTCTCTCCCCCCCGCATTAATGAGAGACCTCGAATTCGGCCGGACACACTGCCCGGGCGGTCGGCGGTAAAATGTACACCCGACAATCAACCGAGTGACAGATCACTTTCGCCCCGGCACGTAGGTGTCCCGGCTGCCGAACGCCCTCCATTGTTCCAGCGTGTACGCGTAATGAGCTGTTACCGCGACGGCGTTCGAAAGTTGAATTATTAATGCGCCCCACGCGAAGGTACGGAGCGCTTAATTAAGTTTGTTACTTTATTGGAATACCAACGCAAGATGCACAGTACTGGGTGCATTTGTACGGTCGGCAAAAGCTGACTTGCCCTTCATTTATAGAATCCGGAGCAATTGATAAATAATAAATGTAGTTCATTGTTTATATCTATTGCAGATAAATTAGTGTCGACGCGATTGCACACCGATCGTATTCATATCGTTGAGAAATCGATTGTGCCTACCTGCGTATGCAATATAAGACGGTATGGAGTTTTTTTTAAATTCTAATTGATTTTGCCTTCTTCAAATACAGATTGGTGACAATAGGACAAATTAAAACTGCAAAACTCATCTCAATATTTTCGGAGAGTAACCTTATAATCTAAAATACATATAAGTTAAATTTAAAGTTGCTTTTATTAAACACTTTTCAAAATCGTTAAGCCAAGGAAGCAAAACAAGTTTCATTATCTTTAGGCCAGTCAGCCACATCTACATAGGAGGTAACCTTATCTAATTGTTAGTCATTTTATGTAATAAGAGAGTGCCAACCGAACTAACGGCTTTTTCGTTTGCAAGCTTATTTCATAAAAAAAGTTTCATTGTCGCCTTGAATGTGCGATGCGCATACCTGTCGTTAAATAAATTTGAAAATATTTATAATCACTATTCAATGGTAACTGTAAAGCCTACACTACTTAAATATGTATGATCAATAAATAATTGAAGACCTATGTATATAAAACTGACATGATAAACAAGGAAATTAGCATTAACTCGTGATCATTACAAAAAAACGTTGACGTTTGACGTAAGACGGTCTAGATATCACTTGTTATTTTTTGCATTTTAAAATTGTTTCAGAGTCCTTTTTGAACGTGACTTAGTGTTGAAAGTCTAGTGCGTAAACAATAGTGCAAACTGTTTTAATTTATTTGCAAGAAGATTGTGTATAAAGTGCAAAAAAATCCAATTAACTTTATTGGTATTGTGATCTGTACTCAGTCTTGTGAAGTGTTTCTACCCACGATTGTAAATCAATAACCGAGTTATCATCCCGCACATACGTATAAAAGTACAACGGATTGGATATTTTAGCAACTCCGAATAGGAGTTACGTGGTGTAAATTGTTGTTGCTTGCTTGGCAAACGCGAGCTCCGAGTTCGAACCCAGCCCGACATCCGTCACTTTTTGTTAGTTTATTCATTTATATTCATATTTAAAAAATGGTTTTATGTTCAGCTTGCAAAGAAACGGTCTTAGTCACACAAAAGCGAATAAAATGTACTATCGCAAAGTGCGCGCAACAATATCACAATGAGTGTGTGGCATATGTTGATTCTCCTACTTCTAGATCGAAATGGTTATGCCCATCTTGTGTAGCTAACAGGCCAAAAGTTGGAGACAACAGCAACATGCCGGTTCAATCAAAAGGCAATGATCAGTTAAATAATTTAAACCAACAGTCTCTCACTAGAGGAATATCTGCATCCACAGAACAAATATTGAATTTAGATAATATTGAAAAACTTTTAAACAAAACTTTGGATCAAAAATTAACTGGTTACTTGGAGTTGTTAGAATCAAAACTAAAAAAGGATTTCACGTCTATTATCCGTACAGAAATAGATAAAGCAACATCAGATTTCACTAAAACCACTGACTTTCTTCATGCTGAACAATCGGAAACGAAATTGGAATTGCATCAGGCACAAAAAACCATCACTGACTTACAAAAGCAATTGTACAATTTAACCAACGAAATTAATATATTGAGTAAGAAACTGAATAGCTCAGAGATTCTAAGTCGTAGTCATAATGTCGAAATTCAAGCTGTTCCAGAAAAAAAATCAGAAAACCTAATTGCAATAGTTAAAAAGATTTGTGACACTATATCTTTGCCCATATCTGATGCAGAAATTGTACATTGCCGTAGGGTGGCTAAGATGAACCCGTCCTCTTCACGTCCCCGTAACATACTATTATCTCTTCCAACACCAAGGCATAGAGATAATATGATTTCTGCTGTTCGGCGATACAATAAACGTAACCCTCAAGACCGATTAAGTGCAAGACATCTGGAAACAACTTACAATTCCATACCAATTTATGTATCTGAACACCTTTCGCCAGAATGTAAAGCACTTCATGCTGCAACTAGGAAAGTTGCTAAGGAAAAATCCTACACTTACGTATGGGTTAAAAATGGGCGAATATATGTGAGGAAAGATGATAAGTCGGGTGCAGTACACATAAAAGACAGCACAAGCTTAAATAAGCTAACTTAATTGTTGAATGTAGCTAGACTTGGCTCTTCTCTTCTCTTTTTTTTTGTATATTTTTTTTTTGTTGTAACTTAGTGAAGTATTTACTTGGATTCAGATTACAGATTTAATGACAATGAATTTTTATTATCAAAATGTTAATAGATTTAGGTCTAAGCTTAACGATTTTAGTTTGAATTTACTCAGCTTTGATTATGACATAGTATGCCTTACGGAAACAAATTTAAATAATAGCATATTTGACGGTGAGTTAATTGATGGAAATTACAATGTTTTTCGTCGCGATCGTTGTACAAGTAACAGCACTAAGAGTGAAGGAGGAGGTGTTCTTGTTGCAATAAACAAAAAGTTCAATGTCTTGCGTCGTTGCAATTGGGACTCAACCTGTGAAGATTTGTGGCTTTCAATATTTCCAAGTGAAATTAATAGTTGTACAGTCCATTTGTGTTGTTGTTATCTTCCACCTGATATGAATGTTAACGACTTTGAAAACTTTTTTACCAATGTTGCCGATGTTATTAATAATTTTAATACTAATGACATTATAATTATCTTAGGTGACTTCAATGTTGGGTCAATTCAATGGTCAGAACATGGTCCCAGTCCAGCTACTGATTTAAAAACTTCATTACTTATTGATAGTTTAGCCTACGGTAATATTAAACAATACAATTCAATTTTAAATGAAAATAACCGTATTTTAGATTTGATTCTGTCTAATATCAAACTCTCTGTTAACAGAACTATACCTCTTAGTAAAGAGGACAAGCACCATCCATGCCTAAGTTTTTATTTAAATTACCAAGCTGCACATAATAGTATAGTTAAGTCGAAGAAAATAATTAAAATTAATTTTTATAAAGGTAATTACGATAATATCAAGAAGGCTTTAAGAGCTGTTGACTGGAAAGATAAATTATCAAACAGTGAAGTAGACGTTGATGTAGAGCGATTTTATGATGTTTTGAATTCGATCATCTCTGTTAATATTCCGCAAAAACGACACAACTTAAATCAATATCCGCCATGGTTTAGTGATACCGTTAAACGATGTATCAGAGAAAAAAGGAAATATCACACAAAATTTAAAAAGTATGGCAACCCACGAGATTATGACACTTTCGTTGTACTGCGAACTCGATCAAAAAAGTTGATTTCTGAATGCTACCACCGATTTTTAAATTCCATGGAAACTTCTTTAAAAAGTAATCCTCGACAATTCTGGAAATTTGTGAAGGGTAAGCGTGTGTCCAACTCAATCCCGCAGGTTGTGACATTTGAAAACGTAATTGCATCTAATGGTAAAGACATGTGTGAAATGTTCTCTAAATATTTTGCCACCGTGTTTGAAAATGACATTAACAGAACATCCATTAAATTAGATTCAGTGCAACCTATAAATGTAATGGCGAAATTAAAATTGTCTTACGATGAAATTTTACATAAAATACGTCACTTAGACATAAAAAAAGGTCCCGGTCCAGATGGTATTCCACCTATATTTATTAAAAACTGTTATGAGGAATTGACGACACCACTCTTCATTATCTTTAATAAATCACTGAGACAAGGAGTTTTTCCGCATAAATGGAAAGTATCTCATGTTATACCCATATATAAGTCGGGTGATAAAAACTTGTGCCAAAACTATCGTCCTATAAATATTCTCTGTACATTTGCGAAAATTTTCGAATCTCTGATATATCCCCATATATATGCTTGGGCTAAACCTTTTCTTTCTGATCAACAGCACGGTTTCATTTCTAATAAGTCTACGGTAACAAATTTATTAGAACTACAAATTTGTCTTTAACGCATTTGAAAAACACAAACAAGTGGATTGTATTTATACTGACTTTTCCAAAGCATTTGACAAAGTTAACCATACAATCCTATGCATGAAGCTTGAGAGTTATGGAATACATGGCGATTTATTGCGTTGGATTGTATCTTACTTGGGTAATCGAAATCAAATAGTAACGATAAGGGGGTTTTCAGTCGTTTCCGTTTGTTGCCACTTCCAGGGGTCCCACAAGGATCGCATCTAGGTCCATTATTATTTAATATATTTATTAATGACCTCACAGATCAGCTTAAATGTCAAAAGTTGCTATATGCGGACGATTTAAAAATATTCAATTTCATAAAT